CAGTACGGCGATTACTTCGCTTCCTTGTCCGCCGATCAGTCGAGAGAGTTTGAGCTGAAAGACGCGCTCACCAAGTACACCAACGACGTGATCGCCACTTGCGCGTTCGGCATTGACGTCAACTCGATGAAGAATCCGAAGAACACGTTCTACGTGTACGGCAGGGAGGCAACCAGCTTTGGAAGGTCGCAATCCCTCAGGTTTTTCGCGGCGAGAACGTTTCCGTGGTTATGCCGATTGTTCGATATCAAGGTATTCAACCAGAAGATCGTCGACTTCTTCAAGGAGTTGGTAGCCAGCACGATAAAGACCCGGGACGAGAACGGCATCGTTCGTCCGGACATGATTCAACTGATGATGGAGTCGAGAGGGAAATTGGGTCCAGGCAAAGAGTTGACCATCGACGACATGACCGCCCAGGCGTTCATCTTCTTCTTCGGTGGATTCGAGAGCACTTCCACTGTCATGTGCTTCGCCACTTACGAGATCGGCATCAACGACCAGGTACAGAAAAGATTGCAAGACGAGATCGACCAGGTTCTGGCGGATTGCAACGGCCAGGTCACGTACGAGGCCATCAACGGCATGAAGTACCTGGAGGCTGTCATCCTCGAGAGTCTTCGAATGTACCCGGCGGCGGTCGCTAGCGACAGAGTCTGCGTGAAACCGTTGGAATTGCCGCCACGCGTGCCGGGAGCGAAGCCGTACGTCGTGCAACGAGACGATTGTCTGTGGATACCGATCTATGGCATTCAACACGATCCGCAATACTACCCGAAGCCGAAGAAGTTCAATCCCGATAGATTCTACGACGATCCGAAACAGATGGCCAACTCTCCCTCGTTCCTTTCGTTTGGAGTGGGTCCCAGGATGTGCATCGGCAACAGGTTCGCCCTATTAGAAACGAAAGTGTTGCTCTTCTACATTTTCGCCAAGTGCGACCTCGCACCGTGCGCCAAGTCCTGTATACCGTTGAAACTGAACACGAAAAGCTTCGCCATGATACCGGAGGACGGCTTGTGGCTGAAAATCCAACCGAGAAATGCAAAGAAAACGATGCCGGAGTAGATTGCTATCCCAAGAACGATCATGCTCATCGAGAAGACTCCCGACAATTAAGTTATAATACGTTGCACCGCGTATCCGTGCAATATCCGTTGCTGCAAGTTTCGTCGAAACCGAATCTATGATTTCTTTTAAATCTTTTTATACTTTGTTGTAATATGATATAATTGGCTGTAATACGTAACGTGGTTGCAATATACATTAAGCTTGATTTAGGGATTCTATACGGGGAAGGAAACAGGAAATGAGAATGCCCTAATAAAATGTAAGAAATGTACAAATTACGCGTATGTGCAAAGATGCTTTCCTGCACATTTCAAACATTCGTATAATTTCGTCACTTTCTTCAGAATCCACTCGTTGCAAATGATCATACGCATTTGTCGATGAATTCGCGCACTGACGTTTTCAAGAACAGGTTGGGAGTCATCTTTTCCATTTTCTTTACTGACCTTTGTTTCGGCAGAAAAATTGATAACTCTTCACATCTTTAAACGATATTGTCGACGAATTTTCTGTCGATTCCTACGATCTGGCCGAATGTATGCGAAATAGCCGTTGATTTTTTAGTCAACAAGAAAAATATTTTCACATTAAATTGATAGATAATAATCTTTCATGGGTTTCTTCTTTTTACAAGTTTTTTCGAAGATTTAATATAGTCTTTGTTACGAAAAATACGTGTATATTTGTACATCGTAGATGTAGATTTTGTACAATTAAATAAAATGATTATTGGAAATAAATATATTTAATTTGGATTAAATTGAAAAAAATAATCATAAGATCATAATCTTCGTTTTATCATCGTATCTAGTCGTGGTCGTTCCCAGAAAAAGATAACAATGTCTTGTTCAAAAATTTTGAAACGGACAACGATAATTTCCGCAGTGATAATATCAGTGGAAACCCGTGCACAGTATGTTTGTACGATCATTTTTCCTGAATATTAACGACAATAATTTTCTTGATCGGCTTTTTACTACCTGTCCGTAAAATATTTTCCAATCTTTTCTGATTTTTCTGATTTATCGTGTTGTTTGAGCAGTAATTTGTCCTTGCATCTGTCCTTCCAGCGAATAAATGAACAAATCTGTAGGAAAGCTCCGATTTCGATGATTTCTGAAGATTATACCGCAGAAATCTTCATTTTGGATAGCCTTTTCCTGTACTAGTTTTTGAAAAATTCGTAAAAAAGAAATTCTGTTGGCATCGCTATGCAGGTGAATCCTGCCTTCAATCGTACATTCGTAGCAAAGTATATACGTTAGTGTCTATCCAGCAGCCAGATACAATATTACTCTAGCTTCTGTTAAAATATTATGTACGTTCGTGCAAGATGAACGTGTTGGTTGTGCTTGGAATTGTGTGATAAAACGACAGAGCTCGATGTGTTTCTGGCGTTTTCTGAATCATCTCGAAAGCTAAGCCTAACATGCGTCAGTTACACACGTTTAACTAATATGAAATACTTGTTTAAAACATTAATTAAAAAATCATCGAGATCGGAGAGGACCCGATTTTTCTACGAGATTCACTGACAGACAAACGAATGAAAGAAAAAAGGTAAAGAGAAAGAAAACAGAAATTGACAAATAGTTTCATCTTCAAATTGAAATTTCAGATTTTAAGTTTCACATTCAAATTCAAACTCTTAATTTCAAACTCAAGTTCAAATTCAGATTTTTGCAATTTTTTTTTTGTAAATGATGTTTACTTATAGAATTGGCACACTGTAGCTCAGAATTAGTTGGTTGGAGGTTCGCGAGCCAATGCTTCTAGTTTCCTCATCGTTAGTGATGCTACTCACTGCATCAATCTCTCGAATTAAGAAGAATCGTTGCGAAAAAAGAGAAATTTTCGCGAAAACATCTTTCATTGATTGATATACTTCGCGCAGAATTTTCGCGTTATTTCGAAAGATTATATGATAGTTCATTCGAAGTGGGAAACCAGAAAATTTTGAAATAAAACGGAAGACAAATCAAACAGTAGTCGAGAATAATGCACAATTTTCCGACGTAACCGTTTCGATTATAATATCCTCGCGTGTTTGCAACCACAGAACATTTCTCGAGTACATATACGTGCGAACGGCACACATGCGTGCATATACATATATATATTCAATGATAGTACATTTATCCATTTATTAATTGACAGATAAAATAGCAAGAGATAGCGAAATTAACGCAATTACGCAGCTGTTGGAGTGAGTCACTCTTCCATTATCTATAAATAGATAAGATTCGTTGCCTCGCGCGAAAAATACCGATTGCACGATCATCGCGCGAGTATTTTGACCATTTCGTCGTACCTTCATCGGCAGTAGCACGAATGTGGCCTGTCGTATTAACGCGAACGCCATCGAATCGCGTCTTTAGTCATCGCAAACACATTGGCGCGAGAGCGTCCGCAGCTGCTGAACGTTCTCTTTATCAATACGGATCGAACGTAGTCGGTGATCGTTTTCTGCGATTATTCAATCTCTCGGAACTAGTGGATGATCCTTTTTGAAAAGTGAGCGAGATCGTACGAATGTAGTGAAGAAGCTAACGCTGATCTAATTGCCGATAAGTGGCGAATACCTGCTACAAGTGATCCGGAAAAAACGGATCTGAAAATGGGCTATTGGTTGATAATCGCGGTCGTGATGGCCGTGCTAGCAGTGGTCTACCACCGAGCCACTCGCAGCTTCTGCTTCTTCGAGAAACGTGGGATTCCATATGTGAAACCGGTGCCGTTTTTAGGAAACTTGTGGGAGGTGTTCCTTCGACAAATTTCGTTCGCTGAGCTCGCAGAAAAATTGTACAATGTATATCCCGAGTCAAAGTACGTCGGTTTCTTCGAGTTTAGTACGCCCTTGCTCGTGATTCGAGACCTCGACCTGATCAAGTCCATCACCATGAAGAATTTCGACCACTTTCCAAACCATAAAATGGCTTTCAACCCGGACGTGGAGCCGCTCTTCTCGAAGAACCTCTTTTCCCTGTGCAACGAAAGATGGAGGGAAGTACGGACCATATTGACACCAGCCTTCACGTCCAGCAAGATGAAGTCCATGTTCGCGTTGATGCGCGACTGTGCCAAAGAGTACGGCGATTATTTCGCTTCCTTGTCCGCCGACCAGTCGAGAGAGTTCGAGCTGAAAGACGCGTTCACCAGGTACACTAATGACGTGATCGCCACTTGCGCGTTCGGCATTGACGTCAACTCGATGAGGAATCCGAAGAACACGTTCTACGTGTATGGCAGAGAGGCAACTAACTTTGGAAAATCGAAAGCCCTCAGGTTTTTCGCGGCGAGATATTTCCCGTGGTTATGTCGATTGTTCGGTATCAAGATATTCGAGCAGAAGTTCACCGACTTCTTCAAGGATGTAATAGCCAGCACGATAAAGGCCCGAGACGCGAACGGCATCGTTCGTCCGGACATGATTCAACTGATGATGGAAACCAGAGGGAAATTAGGCCCAGGAAAGGAGTTGACCATCGAGGAGATGACCGCTCAGGCGTTCAACTTCTTCTTCGGTGGACTCGAGAGCGTCGCCACTCTCGTCTGCTTCGCCGCTTACATGGTCGGCATCGGCGACGAGGTGCAGAAAAAATTGCAAAACGAGATCGATAAAGTTTTCGAGGATTGCAACGGCCAGGTCACGTACGAGGCCATCAACAGCATGAAGTATCTGGAGGCTGTCATCCTCGAGAGTCTTCGGATGTTCCCGATCGCTCTCTTTACCGACAGAGTCTGCGTGAAACCGTTCGAACTGCCTCCACGTGTGCCAGGAGCGAAACCGTACGTCGTGCAACGAGACGATTGCGTGTGGATACCGATCTACGGCATTCAACACGATCCGCAATACTACCCAGAGCCGAAGAAGTTCAATCCCGACAGATTCTACGACGATCCGAAACAAATGGCCAACTGTCCCTCGTTCCTCTCGTTTGGAGTGGGCCCCAGGATGTGCATCGGCAACAAGTTCGCCCTGTTGCAGATGAAAGTTTTCCTCTTCTATATTTTTGCCAAGTGCGACCTTGCACCGTGCGCCAAGTCCTGCATACCGTTGAAACTTGAAACGAAAAGTTTCGCCATCATGCCGGAGGACGGCTTGTGGCTGAAAATCGAGCCGAGAAATGCAAAGAAAGCAATGCCGGAGTAGATCTTGCCATCCGAAGAACGACCATGCTCATCGAGAAGATTCCCGACAATTATGTTCTGTTGCATGCAACGTACATGTTCCTTGCAATATCCGTTGCTGCAACTTCTTCGTCTGTCTTCGTCGGGCTACGTTTCTTCGTAGCAGCAAGCGTCGACTTTTGCAATTAGTTATAATATGTTATAATGCGATGTGGTATGTGTAAAATGTAATGCAGTTGCAATGTATATTAATTGTAATATAGGAATTTTATATGAGGCAATGAACAGGAAAATGTTTCGTTCGAGCTCGTAAAATGTATTAATTACGCGTATGTATGAAAATGTATGAGAAACAGCGGTGAATTTTGTGGTCAACAATATTTTCGTATTAAAATAAGATAATAATTTTCCATAGATTTCTTCTTTTTGCACGTTTATATTTAATATATTCTTTGTTACGAGAAATATGTATATTCGTCAAATGTAGATTTATTAGAATTAAATAAAATAGCTATTTGAAATAACTTTGACTTTGGGCTAAATTAGAAAAATAGTTATGTGATCTCTATTTAATCCTTGTGTCTAATCGTTGTCATTCCCAGAAAAAGATGAACAATATCTTGTATTTTCAAAAATTTTCAAGAACAACGCCTATCGTTTTTTAACATTGAGATATAAAATATGTATGTACGATTGTTCTCCCTGAACATGAATGCGAAGAAGGCTTTCTATTTATCCGTTTAGATTCTTTCCAATCTTTTATCGGCATTTGTCAGCATGTGTCCTTTTAGTGAATAAATTGACGAATCTGTAAAAGCTCTTCGATTTCGATGATTTCTGAAAAATATGCTGTAGCCTGTTCCTGTGTTAATTTTCAATAAATTTGTAAAAAACTTCTGTTGACGCCACTACGTTGAACTTTGCCTACAATCATGTGTCCATAGCAACGTATTCGGCAGCTGGATACCACATGACATATCTTTTGTTTATATATAATGTATTTGTCATCCAAGAAGAACAGATCGGCTGTGTTTTGAGAGTGTGTCGTAAATGAATAAACGTGCTACCAGCGTCAATGTTTTGCGAATCATCTGGAAAGCTAGGCCTGACATACGTCGGTCATATCACCGCGTATCGGTATGAAATACTTTAAAATATTAATATTGAAAAGTTATTGAGATCGGAGAGAAAACCGGTTTTTCTACAGGCAAAAGGTTCAAACTTCAAATTTCAAGATTCAACATGCAAAATTCAAATTCAGGTTTTTAATTTCAAATTTCAAATTCCAATTCAAATTTCTATGATTTTTTTTTTCCGGTAAATGATGTTTCTTTATAGAAATTGGCTCACTCTAAATTAGAGTAGGCAAACTGGCGACCCTTGACCTTATTGTTCTAGTCGCTATTCCCTCCACTGCATTGATCTCTCCACTTGCTTACAATTATGTAGCAGGGAAATCAACAGACTGAGAGAGTGAAGTTCATGGACAGCGAGGAAATCTCAGTGTAGCGAAGAGATGCAGTGGTGGAGGTAGCGCCAGCGATAGCGAAAAGTGGGAGAGCTGCGGGCCGCCAATTAGCCACTTCTGATCTACATAGTACAAAAATAAAGTCATTTATTACGATGTACCTTTCGAATCATAATATGCGATAATGTGTCAGTTACCAACGTATGTTACTAGGCAATGATGCCGAGAATAATGCGCAACTCTTCTTGCTACGACCACTTGAGTTATAGTATTCTCGTTTGTTTGCAACCACATTCATGCGTGCGTGTATGTTCAGTGACAGCGTGTGACACCATCTATTAAATGGCAGATAAAATGACACGAGATAGCGAAAGTGACGTAATTAGACGGCTGTCGGAAAGACATATTATTTACAATTCGATAAGATTCTTTTTCTCGCGCAAGAGGTACCGCTGCACGATGAATTGCGCGAGCAGTCGATTGTTTCATCCTACGTTCATCGGCAGCAGCACGAACGCAGCGCGGTGCATTAATAGGACCGTCATCGAACCGCGTCTTCAGTCATCGCAAGCACACTGGCGCAAGAGCATCCGCAGTCGTTGCTGAACGTTCTCTTTATCTATATAACGGATCGAACGTAGTCAGTGATTGTTTTCTACAATTTTCCAGTCCCTCGATGATCCTTTCTGTGGGAAAGTGAGCGAGATCGTTGCCGATAGGTAGTGAATACCTGCTGGAAGAACGAAATAACAACGTTTAACAATTTGGAAATGGGTTGGTGGGCGATAATCGCGGCCGTGTTGGCCGTGCTAGCGGTAATTTACTACCGAGCCATTCGTAACCTCGACTTCTTCGAGAAACGTGGAATTCCATACGCCAAACCAATGGTGTTTTTAGGAAGTATGTGGGAGGTGTTCCTCCAACGATTCTCGTTCGCCGAGGCCGTAGAAAAAATATACAATTTGTATCCCGAGTCAAAGTACGTCGGTTTGTTCGAGTTCGAAATGCCCTTGCTCATGATTCGAGACCTCGAATTGATCAAGTCCATCACCGTGAAGAATTTCGACCACTTTCCAAACCATAGAATGGCTTTCGATCCAGACCAGGAGCCGCTCTTCTCGAAGAACATATTTTCCCTGTGCGACGAAAGATGGAGGGAAGTACGGAACATGTTGACACCGGCCTTCACGTCCAGCAAGATGAAGTCCATGTTCGTGTTGATGCGCGACTGTGCCGAACAGTACGGCGATTATTTCGCTTCCTTGCCCGCCGATCAGTCGGCCTTGGAGTTGAAAGACGCGTTCACCAAGTACACCAACGACGTGATCGCCACTTGCGCGTTCGGCATTGACGTCAACTCGATGAAGAATCCGAAGAACACGTTCTACGTGTACGGCAGGGAGGCAACCAGCTTTGGAAGATCGCAATCCCTCAGGTTTTTCGCGGCGAGAAAGTTTCCGTGGTTATGCCGATTGCTCGGTATCAAGGTATTCAAGCAGAAGATCGTCGACTTCTTCAAGGAGTTGGTAGCCAGCACGATAAAGACCCGGGACGAGAACGGCATTGTTCGTCCGGACATGATTCAACTGATGATGGAGTCGAGAGGGAAATTAGGTCCAGGCAAAGAGTTGACCATCGAAGACATGACCGCCCAGGCGTTCATCTTCTTCTTCGGTGGATTCGAAAGCACTTCCACTCTCATGTGCTTCGCCGCTTACGAGATCGGCATCAACGACCAGGTACAGAAAAGATTGCAAGACGAGATCGACCAGGTTCTGGCGGATTGCAACGGCCAGGTCACGTACGAGGCCATCAACGGCATGAAGTACCTGGAGGCTGTCATCCTCGAGAGTCTTCGAATGTACCCGGCGGCAGTCGGTAGCGACAGAGTCTGCGTGAAACCGTTCGAACTGCCTCCACGTGTGCCAGGAGCGAAACCGTACGTCGTGCAACGAGACGATTGCGTGTGGATACCGATCTACGGCATTCAGCACGACCCGCAATATTACCCGGAGCCAAAGAAGTTCAATCCCGACAGATTCTACGACGATCCGAAACAGATGGTCAACTCTCCGTCGTTCCTCTCGTTTGGAGTGGGCCCGAGGATGTGCATCGGCAACAGGTTCGCCCTATTAGAAACGAAAGTGTTGCTCTTCTACATTTTCGCCAAGTGCGACCTCGCACCGTGCGCCAAATCCTCCGTACCGTTGAAACTGGACAGGAAAGGATTCGCCATGACGTCGGAGAACGGCTTCTGGCTGAAAATCCAGCCGAGAAGCGCAAGGAAAATTGTTAATTCTCACTTCGAACGATATCAAAGATTGTCACCTTTCGACTTATTTGCAGAAGGAAATAACCGTGGAATTTTTGGTGAACTGGAGAATACTTTCATATTTAAATAATGTAATAATCTTCCATAGATTTCTTCTTTTTACACGTTTTTACCAAGATTTAATATATTATATTCTTTGTTACGAAAAATATATACATTCGTTAGATGTAGATTTGTTGTAGTTAAATAAAGTTGTTATTCTAAATAAATATACCTACTTTGAGCTGGAGTTAGAAAAATAATCATATGATCATAAGCTCCATTTAATTATCGTGAGAAACCTGTTTAAAATATTAATAATCGAAGGTCATCGAGATCGGAGAGGAACCAGTCTTTCGAACGAACGAATGAAAGAAAGAGAAGGAAAAGAATCTTTCAGTCTCGACGATCTGTTCGCGTTTCATCTTCAACGGATCAATGAGAATCGGAGAAGAATGGGGAAAGAAAGCATCAAGTTCATGGCGTATATCTCCGGTCACATAATGAACGCGTGTTACGCGTCCATCTCAATTATCATCCGCGCTGGGTGCATCATCAGCATCGTCTGCATGTCCAGCACGTAACATCGTGTCCGCGGTACGTATAACAGTCGTATAATATATTCTGCTACGTGATCGACCAGTGGCAAAGATATGATACGACCTTGTGAATATTGTCTTAATGAGCGAGTTCCTGTGTACTATGCCACGTCTACACATATGTACATATATGTACCTGGAAGCGACTTCACCATCAGCTGCTTCCTCGTTGCGCGTCACCTAATTGACCTATTTTTTTCTTCTCTTTCTCCTTTGGTCCAAAAAATCATGACAATACGCTCATTCATATGACATTCAGTTTTCTCGGACGTTCAGTCGTCAACGTTGAATTTGCAATTTGTTTTCCTTGCAGAGTCGAGGCAATTATGCATTTGCGATTGCGAGTGATGTACCGTGTCACGAATCGATTAAAAATCTGAAATCGTCTGTCTGACGTGACTGTGGATCTTTGATTCGAAGTTGTTTTGAATCTTTATTTCAAAACGGTCGTTCTATTTACGGACACTGATACAACGTTGCGGGCTGACTGTTACATCAACGATGATAAATAAATCATGCGGTAAAACGCGATAAAAACGAAAATAACAGACAGCCTTGTTATATTGTATTTTTTTTTCTTTTTTTTTTTTTTTTTTTTTTTTTTTTTTTTTTT